TTTTTTTCATTTGTTTTGTTTTCATTACTCGTGACCCTCTTACAGCTAAAAGGCTTTCAGTGAGTCATGCTTTTCTGAATTTGACCCTGAGACGGTTGGATCAACAAACGTGCAAAGCATTTGGCCCCGCACTTAAATCATGAAGTACTACATCAGCAGCAGTAGGTGATATAATTATGATACATACTCAGAAATGTTTTTGTGTCAGGGGAAATATATACCGGTATATAAAACAATAAATATTAATGCAGATTAAAAGCTTTTGTGTTAATCCTTCAAAATTGCAAACATCACAGAAAACACAAAACCCTGATGGAGGTAATGTGTAGGATATGTAGTTAGAGCAAATATGTTGTTTAAATAGGATGATGCTTGTTGGAGTAACAAGGATAGAATGTACGTAAAACCGGAGACTTGTCGGATTGTTCTGATGATCAATATTCATTCAGTCATTTATAGGAACAACAAAAAAATCCCAGCTCCTTTACAGCAATCAAGGTGTTGATAAAAAATATGGAATTCATGTAATTTTGCATTAGCCTTATGCAACAGGACATACCAGGTGGTTTTAAGTTATTATGAATTAAACAGGCTTATGTTTAACATAAATATACTACATTTAGTAGTGCCATGGCAGCACTATGATTAACAGGTAGCAAAAACCAATCTCCATGTTGTGATGTCAGAGGGAGTGCAGTACTTAGGTATGGCTGTTGGCAGCAGCACCCGTTAGTGTTTTACTGAACAACCAAGCAAGTTTATCATTGAGGGAACATAAAATATGCTTCTGAAAATGCTCCAAGCAGAAAAGAGACACTGTGGGATACTCCAACTTCTCCCAATCTCATCTGACCTCCTTCACCCACTTTGATAGAAGCTCAGGATACCCAGGAAACTTAAATAAGCCATCTTAATGGGGGTTGAAGAAAAAAGATGTGACCCAGCTGTACATGAAAACCCCAGCAGCTGTCCACAATAAAACCCCTGTTCCAGCTCTCGCTCATCCCCTGTATATGTTACGCATGTTTTCTCCCTCAGTCACTACAAGATTCTAGGGTTTTTTGATTAAAAACATTGATCTTCAGTAATAACGTTGTGGTTGACAAAAAAATAATAGAAAATGTCATTACATAAAGATATTAATTTAAATGTCATGGTCTTGGTTCTGTTTTTCTTTACTTTGCTCCTTGTTTTCTAGTTTTATTGGTGTAATTCCAGTTTTGTTGTAATTTCTAGATTTAAGCTAGTTCTCATGTTTTTCTGTTGTCCTCTGTTGCCCTCTTGTGTGTGTATGTTCCTTTCCCCTTGGCTCCCTCGTTGTCTCCTCTCACACCTGCTCCTTGTCAGCTCGTTAGCCCTCCCTTTGTCTCTCTCTGCTATATATGCTCTCCTTCTGCTCTCACTCTTTGTTGGTTCCTTGTCTTTGCTGTCTTCCCATGCTGTGGTCTATGTTCCTCGTTTCACCCTGTCTCCTCGTGTTTGGTTTTCTCCAGTTGTCTCCTTATCTCTGGTTTGCTTTTCATTATTAGTTGGATTTTTGGATTCCCGCCTCTGTTTCCTGTGTTTATTTCATTAAAGCTGCAAGAAATTTCCTCTGCCTCTGCATTTGGGTCCGCAAACCACAACTGAACCCTGACAACAAAAAAGCTGGGATAAATACTTTTAATTCCTTAAAGTTTGGACACAAATAGTGCTTATATATATATACATACACATATGGATGAATGTAAATACATAGATATAGATATATAAATATGTAGATATTTATTTATTTCCAGCCATCCATTTTCTCCCATTAGTCCTTGTCAGGGTCGTAGTGGGGCTGGTGCCTATCTCCAGCAGTCTCTGTATAAGAAGCTGGATACAACCTGGACAGGTCGGCAGTCTGTCGCAGGGCAACACAGGGACAGTCAAAGACACAAAACCATGCACACACACACAATCACACCTAAGGACAATTTAGAAAAGCAAATTAACCTAGCAGTCATGTTTTTGGACTGTGGAAGGAAGCCGGAGTAGACCCACACATGCACAGGGCAGGAGGGAACGTGCAAACTCCATGCAGAAACACCCCGGGCCAGGAATTGAAACAAAAAACTTCTTGCTGCAAGGCATACTGTGCTACCCACTTCAATACCGTGCAGCCCTTATTTATTTTATTTTTTTTTTTTTATCAATTTGACTGTATGATCTGGTTGAACGGTAAAGTGACTTGAGATGACTTGTGTTGTGAATTGGTGCTACATAAATAAACTGTATTAAATTTATTTATTTGTATAACAAATGAAAATATGGCAGTAATTATTTTATATTGTGTATCTTTTTAATCACTAGTTGGAGCATCAACCATGCAAAAGTCTGCAAACATGCAATTCTTCAAAAGGACTAACCAAAATGCATTGATTTCATTGATTGAATTGAATCCAATCAAATTGAACAACGAAGAGGATTTTGATCTCCCCCCTGGTCTGCACATCCACTGTCAGTCATATGCTGTTCTCCTAACCCAGGGGTGCTAAAGTCAAGTCCTCAAGAGCTACCATCCTGTAACTTTTAGATGCATCTCTTCTCTAGCACACCTGAATCAAAAGCGTCAATCCCCTCATTTAGCTCAGCAGAGTGGTAACGAGCCACTCATTTGATTCAGGTGTGTTAAAAATGGCTGCGTCAAAAAAGTTGCAGGATAGTAGCTCACGAGGACTGGACTTGAACACCTCTGTTCTAACCCTATTTACTCTCTTAGAGTGTGCAGTAAAGGCTACAGCCTCCAGCTACCCTTTAATAGCAGAAATGAATATCAGTAGCAATAAATCCTCCTATCCCAGCATCAGTAAAATTGACACTTTCACACATGATGGAAAGGCTAAAGGTCACACATAATGGGAGCCTATTCAGAGCTTATTACCTGTATAGACAAACAACACATTTAGTTTGTTTTTGTTTAAGCATTGTCCCTGACAGCTTAAAACAGATACTAACGTTTGATTTATAGCCTTATTTTTTACAAGAAAACAATAACCTCATGGGAGGCAGTCCTACTAAGCCAACATAGTGCTTCATTTTCAAAAAAGCCTCACTGTTTTCCTATTAAGGGCAGGGATGATGCGTGCATCTTTCGGCTTTTTTCTCCTCTTATGTCTCTTTTCCTCTCTTCCTTAGTTGTTTAGGAAGAGTTAATATCCCATCTTATATTATATTCTGTTCTCGTCTCATTTACGGTACTGCCACACCAACCATGGTTTCAGGATGCGACTCAGCCTCCAAACAGGGAGATTTTTTCTTGTCTTTTTCAGTGCAGCAGGGAAAATTTTTCAGCACAATCTTCTACCTCTGCCCTAACACCTGTCACATCATTTAAAACACACCCAATTTTCTCAATAAACCGGTTTATTCATCATTTTATACCATTTATTCAAACATAAAGTCTAAACAAATGTTTTATTCATTCCTGTCTTTCTGATCTTTCTTGATGGTTTCATGTCAGCTCTCATCCCAGCTCCTTCCATCATCTTCCTCCTGACATTAAGCTGCTGATTGTCCAGATAAGCCTGCTCACTTGGCTGCTGCTGAGCCAGAGGAAGACCTGTACACTGTGGGAGTTTGTGAAACAAAGCACTCCACTGCACTCTATTGGCCTGCTCATGAAAGTGCATTTATCAGATCCTCAGCATATGTGAGCACAGTTGTTGATTTATTTGTGCTGGCTCCCAGGGAGGTGATACCAGCAGTGCATCTTCTGTTTATCACTGACACACTAAAGTCTGTAAAATGTAAGTGCTTTCAATACAAAGATTTGGGTAAAGTATTGATGCTTTTAAGTCAGACCAAATACATTTGAAAGCTACTTCCTGTTGTTTTGTTGGTTTAAACTTTTTTCTTTTTTGCAGATGTCGTCTCTAACACTACAGCCAGTCTGCCTCTCAGTTCAGCTTTAAAATTTGGATTCTCATCCACAGGTCTCTAAATAGACAGGCTCCTGACTATTTATGTCGGCTTTAAACTAACATCTCTCCCAATAGTCTCCGATCACAAGGCCAAAACTTTCTGAAGGTTCCTGATATAAACCTGAAATCCAAGAAGGACAAGATCTCTCAGTCTATAGCTCTTAAACTGTAGAAGGACCTACTATACCACTGTGACTTTGCTTGTCTGACTACATTGAGATAAATAAAAATCCATTGAAAACTGTTATGATCCCACTGGCTCTTATATTATAATTTTATTTGGTTTTACCTTTTCATGACCTCACTGTAATTTCTAGCTTTTTTATATATATATATATATATATATATATATATATATATATATATATATATATATATATATATATATATATATCCTGCTTTTATTACTCCTTTTTTAAACTTGTCATAATTTCTTTGTACAGCGCTTTGTGACATTATGTCTGTGAAAGGCACTTAACTCTTGATATTTCTGTAGAGATGGAAAATCCAACTTAAACTTACACTTATAATTATTAAAACAACAAGAAAGGTGAAATATAACAAAACAAATTAATGAATTAGAGAGCAAGCTCACAATGAAAAGGATACAGATACCTGAAAGAAACAATAAAAAAAATTGTAAAAGTTTTAAGAGGAGTTTTAAAATCAGGGAGTCAGGCTGCCTGACATGTAAAGGTAGTTTAATTTACAATTTCTCTGCCATATAAGAAATCAGTCACCTCTCTTTAGTTTTATCTTTTATATTTTCGCACTACTGGGAGGAATATATATATAATATTTTCTTAACTGATCTGCTGAGAGAGTAGCCAAAGAGATCAAGAAGGTATCTCAAACATGCCTGTTTTCAACATTTTTTGAGTAGAGATTTTAATTTTTCTAAAACAGTATCTACTGAACTCAAAGTCGTGGTCAAAAACAGCCCTTCTTGGCCAAACACCACCACCTACACTTCTTACTGATTGGTGGCGGTAATGCGCCATATAGTTGTTTGCCAACCGCCAATAAATTCTAGAAGAAGAAGAATTAGAACCACCACCACAACGTCCTCTAGATGGCGCTGTTAATTTTGAAGAGCAAACTCACCGGAAGTCTCGCGTTGTTGTTTTGTTTTCACCGGATGCTATGTTCAGAGTTTCAAAACACACAAGAGTCTGCAGGCATCCCTCTGGGAGGTTTCGCAGCCGCTGGGAGGGATTCGGTTTGGTGCATGGCGCGTGTTTTGAAGCTGCTTATGGAGAAATGTCTTGGGCCGTGAGTAGTGAGGAAACAGGAAGCGATTCTTGTGGGATGGAAGAGGGAAATAGTGACAATGAAGGTTGGAAGATAGCAACATCAAAAAATGAGAAAAAGCGGAAAAAACAGAGATCAGTTCAAGGGGAATCTAGTTCAGAACAATCCAGTGATGATCATTCCATACATTCCACAGCACAACAAAATGAATTCAAAGTCATATTCAAAGTCGTTAATCAGGCAGATTCTTTTACAAATTGGAATCCGGTTCACTTAACAAAAACCATCAATAAACTTGTCGGAGAAGTCAGAGGTGCCAGAATTCTGTACAGTGGAGACCTGCTAATTAACTGCAGAGACAGCGCCCAGCAAGGCAAAGCAATACGGATCAACAAAATTGACGGGATAAGAGTTCAGTGCAGCCTAATGGAGAACAAAAAGATCAGCAGGGGAGTCATTGGAGGAGTTCCTCTAAAAATTTCTGAAAAAGAGATTCTGGAAAACATAAGCGGTGCAAAAGTAAAAGAAGTAAAACGGTTAAAAACAACAAGAAACGGAGAAAGATCTGACAGTTTATCAGTGCTAATTAAATTTGAGGAAGAGCAATTACCAAGCAAAGTATTCATCGGTTACATAAGCTATAATGTCAAAATCTACAATCCTCCACCATTGAGATGTTTCAAATGCCAAAAATTCGGTCACATTGCAGCAGTTTGTAAAGGGAAACAGAGGTGTGGAAGGTGTGCAGGAGAACATGAGTACGGAAAATGTGGAAAAGAAGCTAAAATAAAATGCTGTAATTGTGGTGGAGAACATACTGCTGCCTATCGCGGCTGTGAAGCAAGCAAAAGGTCTGAGGAAATTAAAAAAATGAAATTTGAGCTCGGAATAACATACGCTGAAGCTGCAAAAAGGATCCCATCTCAGTCAGAAAAACCCAAACCTACAGTTCAACACACGGCAAATTCCAAACCTCTAGAGAATCAAAAAATTGATGAAGACTCACTTATTGTTAAAAAGACAAATTTTGTTCTTTTCATGGTAGAAGTAATTAATTGTACTGCACAGACAACAAAAAAAACGGAAAAAATCAAAATAATAGTGAAGGCTGCAGAAAAATATCTGGACATTAAAGATTTGAACTGGGAGATGGTTGGAAGTATGATGGGAGGACCGATGGGACCATCAGAAACTGGCAGAGTTAAGATGACCTAGAGTAAATTAAAAGTTATATGGGCAAATGTGATTTAGTATTATGTTGGTTTAAGTTACACAGGTTTTTTTTTTTTTTTTTTTTTTTTTTTTTTTTTTTTTTTTTTGGGGGGGGGGGGGGGTGAATCGTTTTCTGTTTTCTTGCTTTACTCCATATCAGTTGGTGGCGGTAATGCACAATTCACAAGTCTGCCAACCGCCATAAAACCCCATTAGAAGAAGAAGAAGGCATCCCTCTGTAACTTCTTTCACTTCTTTTGCTGCCACTCAGAGGCTTTTCTTATCATTCTAACGGATTAAAACGGACTTCCAAGATGGCGGCTCCGCTGCTGGAGTTCGAGACCGAGATGTTTCTGAGTCTCTTTGAGTCCGACGGGCTGCTGGTTGCGGCGGAAGGTCTGGGGATAGACCGCATCCTGCTGCAGTTCATGCGGGTTTACTCCGAGGAGGGCAGCCTGGTCCTTCTGCTCAACACTACCACACCCGAACAGGTGCTTTTAATTAAACATATTTACTAAACGAAGCATAGAACATCGTTTTTAACTCAGAGGGATGAAAAGCAACCAGTAATGATTTAAAAGTTCCATTAAATCAATAATAGTATGAGTCACTGCTTTATTAAGTTGTGAAAAATTATAGGAAAAAATAATTAACATTTCTGCTCTATCCATAACTTCTCAAATGGAAAAGTTTTTGTTTCACCTGGTTTAATTTAGCAAAAAGTCTTCTTTAAAGTAACTTTTGCAGTCTGATTATTAATCGATGACTCGAAAAAATAATCGACAGATTAATCGATTTGCAAAATAATCGTTAGTTGCAGCCCAAGATTAAATACTTCATATAATCTTATAACAGTGGCATTAAGTATAATCACTATTGATCAATTAATGGTTAATTCATTTGAAGAATTTCAGTTAATGTAGGGAGAGAGGCCTGAAATTGTAGTTGAATACAGTTACTTTAAAGTAATATTTAGAAGTAGAAAAACTACTATTTTTGTGGCCTAAAACTTGTGCATGAAAAAAATTCATTTTATCAAAGTATATGTAACTTGTTAGTATTATCAGTATGCTTTAAATATTCAGTATTTGACTTCAGTATTCTGACTGTTTTAACACTCTTTTACCTTTTAAGCTTTTAAGGTCTTTGAATGACCTTTGGCTTCTGACTCAACAAATGAACGTCCCTCTGCTCCTCAGGAATATTTCACAGAGCAATTACGAATAGAGGGTGTGAGCCATCTGCCCAGGACGGTGACCAGTGATGTCCAGAGCACTGAGCGTTACAACGTTTACACTGAAGGAGGGGTTCTGTTTGTCACCAGCAGAATCCTAGTAGTCGACTTCCTCACCGATCGCATCCCGGCTCACCTTATATCAGGTCAGAAACCTAAATACTGATATCTTCTAAAAGTTATTATTTCTTTTAAGAGACAGCCAACATTTTATCACAAGTAAGAATATTTATAAAATATTTACCAAATGTAAGAGTGAAATTCTCCTGTAAGAGAGTTTACTCTTATGTTTGGTATTAAAAAATATGTACGGGTTAAAAAGGAGATTCAGCTATATTGTAATTTTGTTGTCTCAACCAATTAAGACGTTTCCTTGCAATCTTTGTCAGAACAGTTGTAAAAACAGTTTTAATAAAACTGAAACCATAAACGTGTACAAGCACATTTATTGAATAAAGTGTTATTGTAATGTCTGTGGACCCCCCCTTCCCCCACCACTCAGGCATCCTGGTGTACCGTGCTCATAAGATCATCGAATCATGTCAGGAGGCGTTCATTCTTCGCTTGTTCAGACAGAAGAACAAAACTGGCTTCATTAAGGCCTTCACTGACAAGGCTACAGCCTTCTCCTCCGGCTTCTGCCAGGTGGAGCGCGTCATGAGAAACCTGTTTGTCAAGAAGCTATACTTGTGGCCAAGGTATAGAAACTGTTCTTGACTTTATCACCACAAAGCTTCTGTTTTTCAGTTACCTCTTCTCACTTTTTCTTTGATTCTGAATCGACAGATTTCAGGCGTCTGTGAACACAGCGCTGGAGAGGCACAAGCCAGAGGTGGTGGAGCTGCATGTGTCTCTAACGCCAGCTATGAGAGCCATCCAGAGCTCCATCATGGACATCATGAGTGCCTGTCTGAAGGAGCTGAAACGCTACAATCCTACCCTGGAAGCTGAGGACCTGTCACTGGAGAATACCTTGGGAAATGCATTTGAAAAGGTTTTTACTGACAAAAATACTTATTAATTTACCTCCTTAATGCTACATAGGTCCATCCATTATTTCATGGGCTCTCCCTAAAAGATTTTGTCTCCCGTTATTCCCATCTAGACAGTCCGTCACTACCTAGATCCCCTGTGGCATCAATTAGGAGCAAAAACAAAAGCGCTGGTCCAGGATCTTAAAGTTCACAGGGTTCTCCTTCTCTATCTTACCCAGTACGACTGCGTCACCTTCCTCAATCTGCTGGAGTCTCTGCGCTCCAGCCAGAAGATCTTTGGTTCCAACTCAGGTGAATCACAATTCTCATAACATTTTTGTTTTTTCTCCCTTTACAATCACCTATTTCACTGTTTTTAGCTGGCTAGAGGGTGGGGAATAATCCTGGACGAAGATAAAATACAATTTGTTAGATGCTGCAGAAGACATGAGACTGGGATGGAGGTTGACCCTCCAGCAGGACAACCGCTCGGAACATCCAGACAGAGATACAGTGGATGGTACAGATCAGAACAGGTTCACGGCTTACAATGGCCTAGTCAAAGTCCCGACCTAAAGCCAGCTGAGAATCAGAGGTGAAATTTGAAAATAGACTCGGCTTTTTTGTCAAAAATGTGCAACTATTTCAGCCTGTTGCAAAGCTGAAGGAGACAGAAAACCCAAATGACCTGCAGCTGTAATCGGTGCAAACGTTGCCTTGATGTGAGTCATCAGTCACACAGGACATGGCTATTCTAAATGGATGACAGCTGGACCCCTCTGGTTCCTCTTAAACTAAAGAGTCTATTTAAATAACAGGTGAAGTGTCTCAAAGAAAAATAGTCAGTCCACCTTCTACTTAAGCACTTAGATTACCTAAGGTGGTTTTATAGAGTATTAATTGAGAGGGGGTTAATGCCCAAAGACACTACCTCTAATATTTTTCACTCACTTTAAAATTATGAGACAATTTGTGCTGATGTAAAATCCCAATTAAACAGCCTGAGGTTTGTACTTTAATATGACCAAATGTGAGGGAATTCAGGACTGGTGAATCTGTCCGAACTAACTTTGAAATGTTCTAATTTGCCTATTTCTTTATTTGAACTGTTAGGCTGGCTGTTCCTGGACTCCAGTACCTCCATGTTTGTAAATGCAAGGAGCAGAGTGTATCGTATCCCTGAGACCAAAAAGAAACCCAAACTAGTTGGAGAGGCGGAGAAAACGAAACCCTCCTCTGCCTCAGGTAATCACTTATCTCAAAGACCTCTCTCATATTTTCCTATGGTCATTCATGGTGTAGTAACTGCTGTGTCGGGTTCACAGAGGTGAAGCGGGAGCTGGTGCTGGAGAAGAGTCCAAAATGGGAGGTTCTGACTGAGGTTATGGAGGAGATTGAGAAGGAAAACAAGAACTCTCAGAATGAACCAGGTCAGAGATGCACCTTTCAGTGTTAACATGGTAGATCTTTCTATGACCCCTTTAAAGAAATACTTGTTGAGTATATTTTACTTCATCATATCTTTGTGGCTATTTATTATGTATCAGTCGCTTGTTATTATCTAAAAGGGTTTTTTTTCTAATGTGCAGCTTTAAAGTTGTAACAAGAAGTCAAAGCCGTTTTCTTGAAGAAAATCCAGCTGTCTTCAATATGTTTCACGTTCAGCCAACCACTCACTTATGTGGAAAAGCTAAAAGGGGTGTGAATACTTTTGCAGGGCACTGCACACAGATGTCTGACTGACATGCTTTACTTGTTCACCTGCAGGTCGTGTGCTGATTTGTGCCAGTGACGACCGCACCTGCGCACAGCTGCAGCAATTTCTCAAACACGGCTCTGATTGGCTGCTTAACCGGCTCTACGCCCGCACCATCGGGAAACGGGACCCCGGTGCAGCGGCTGCATTTGAGCTGGACGCACAGAAGAAGAAGAAGGACTGGCAGAAAAGAGGAGCCAAGGGAAAAGAACCTGCTCGGAAAAAAAACTCTAAACCCACAAAAGGCAAAAGCAGACCTTCGCTGACCCTGACCCAAATGATGGGGAAAGAGGAGTCAGATGAAGCAGCACCGATGGGGAGCAGTGAGGATGAAGACAATCTGATGGAGGAGGATGAAGGCGAGGAAGAGCAGCTGAAGTTAAATCTGTCCTCCGATGCCTACTATGGCATCCTTAAAGAGCCGCTGACCGTCATCCACCCCCTGAAAGGCTGCACAGACCCACACAGCCTGACCCGCGTGCTGCATGAGGTGGAGCCCAGCTTCGTGGTGCTGTATGATGCAGAGCTGAGTTTTGTTCGCCAGCTGGAGATCTATAAAGCTAACCGGCATGGAAAGCATCTCAGAGTGTACTTCCTGATCTACGGAGGCTCAACAGAGGAGCAGAAGTATCTGACAGCTCTGTCCAAGGAAAAGAAAGCTTTTGAGCATCTGATCAGGTCAGAATCTCCCTCCCCTTCTCCTCCTGTGTTTAGTTTTTCCAAGTTGTTTTTTTCACTAATTAGTGTCTGTATGTGTTTGTCTGTAGGGAAAAAGCTACCATGGTCATCCCAGAGGAGAGAGAAGGGCGAGGGGACACCAACTTAGACTTAGCCAGAAATTTAGAGCCCGCCAATGCTACAACTAACACCCGCAAAGCAGGTTAGTTTGTTTTATTCTGGTTGGAAAGATTTCCTAAGTTCATTCAGAGGCCCTTCAAAGTAGTAAAGTAGTTATATCCCCTCAACTGTTTCAAATATAGACAACTGAAAGTTGTGGTTTGCTTTTATATTGTACCTTAGGTCAGTACGTTGTAGATCCACTTTTGGCTGCAGTTCTCAGCATCTACCAGCTCTGTCCATCTACAGGCTGAAATTTCTGACCAAATATTTCTTTTAAAACATTTTCTGGTTGGATTATAAAAACCTCCCTGCTTTAAGGTTCTCACTCTAGATTCTTAATTGGGTTTAGGTCTGAACTTTGATTTTAGCCGTGCAAATCCAATTTATCTATATTTTAGCTGAATCCTTTCTGACAAAAACGATGCCACATATTTTGTGGTGGGAATGGTACATTCAAATCATTGTGGTATTATTTATTCAAGACTACAGAAAAGTATTAAAAAAAGAGAGAGGGTAAAATATTTGGTTTGTGAATAAAAGTTCTCTAGAAAATGGTTTAACAACTTTATATTAAAAAAAACTTTAATTTTTACTCACTAGAACTGGGTGGTATAGACTTAAAATCTTATCACGATATTTTGTGGTACAATCGTGATTATGATGAAGTTCGGATACAAAAGCTCTTAATAACTTCTTTGTTAGGTAACTGTATTGCTGTGACTGCATGTCACACCAGTAATGGCCCCACAATCACAAAAATTGCTTGTAAAAAAAAAAAAAATACTGTTTTTAAAATAGGCTTACTTAGGAAGCCAGTAAAATAAGGAGCTATGTTTATTTTAGCAGGCATCCCATCTGATCATATATTTCGTATGTGTCAATGCCCCATTGGGACAAAAAGAAGGAAAGAAAAAGTAAAAATAAATATCCTGATTATTTTATTTTTTTACTTTTTAAACATCATTTATTTAGATGTTTTCATTTAGATGTAAGTAACGATATGATAAATGCCCTGCTGCAACTAACAATTATTTTGCAAATCAATTAACCTGTTTTATATTTTTTCGATTAATTGATTAATAATGGCATAGCCAAAGGTTCATTTAAGAAGATTTTTTACTAAATTAAACCAGGTTAAACTAAGATATTTTGAATTGAGAAGTTCTGGATACAGCATATTGACAGACGACGAGGTTTATTTATCTTAAATGCAAAATATTTGTATATTTTTCTAAGTGGGTTGCTCTGTCCTCTAAAGACATGTTTTACAGTCTCTGTACTCCAGTTAACGATTTTTATTTACTAATATTTTTTTTATTTCAATAATCGATTAATCATGATTGATCCAATTTATTGTTTCAGCCCTAGTCTGAGCCTCTCCCGAATGGCCGAGCCCCTCACTTTATCTCTATGGAAGAGCCCGGCAATGCTGCAGAGAAAACAGATTTCAGTCACTTGTATCCAGGATCTATTTCATTCTGTCATGATCCGCTAATTAAGAAAGAAAAAATTACATTCTGATATTCTAGATTGCTTTTCAAGCAATTGAACAAAAATTTAATACACAATTTGGATCAAGTCTTAGACTGTCACAAAACAACAACAAAAGTTTCATGTTAAAAAATAATAGTAGCCTATTTCATGCAAAGGAATTCAGTTTATCATTGAGGAAGTCGAGAGCAATGTTTTGATTAACTGAACCGAAAGCGTTCTGGGCATCAAAGCATCTGCTTAAAGGTTTAGTGTAGGATTTTCCGGAAAACATCCGCCCTCTCTATTTGGAAAAAAAAAAGCTTAATTTCCAAAAGAGGATTTGCAATGTTTCCATAATGTTAAACTCACCATCTCATCTCATCCATATTTATATATAAAATGTTTCCCCGCAAAAAGACTCCTGGTACATTAAAACAATCATGACATGCTTGTATGTGTCTGTGTGCTGCAGTGGAAATTTTAGATGTGTTTGCGGTGTGAAAAAGGATCTGTGGCCACCGTATAACTACTAACGATTCAAATTAAAAAATAAATAAACTTCCCTGGAAAGTTACAATATAGAGGTAGATAACATTTAGTAGCAGTAAATGGATTTCTCCAAGCATGCCAAACTTTACCACCTCTTCTTTTCTTCTCATTAACTTCGTAGACACTTTTTCTCTTATGACCCTCAGTCATTTTCAAAGAACCGATGTGAGAAAGGTGAGCTTCAGTGACTGTCTGAAACCGTAGCTCACCATAGATATACGCCTGAAAGTTTGCATGCACTGAAAAAGATAGCTAACTATGGACGAGCACAGAGGACGGCCTTACTCAAACAAACCACCAGAATGAATGACAGTTAGGAGGACCACTTATACAGATGATCCACCGGAAAAAGAACATCATCACATTTACCTTTATTAAGGCAGTCAGCTGACTTAATAAAAGTGCCTTTATTGGTGAGCCACCTTCTTATGCTGAACACCCCCCCACACATTACCCTGTATTTTAACTGCTGCTCCGTCTCTACAGCAGAGTGGACTCATGAAAAGTCTCTTTGATCGACTCATTTTAGATTGCGAGTAACATAATGGCATTATCAGTATTTGAAAAATCATCAGTTTAAACTAATGTTACTTATTATGTAACGCTGCTACTCCTAACACTGTAGATTATTAAGAAAAGCAAACAAAGTGTTTTTTGCCTGCTGTTCACTTTATAGATGCAGATCAGCTGTGCCTGGTTAGTAGTCCTAAGCCAAACAGATTAGTACCTTTTTCTCTAGAGAAATTGTTTAATAGTAATGACTACCCTATTGGCCCACAGGCTTAGTCAAGCACAATTGTTGTAAAATATTCATTCCTTCACAGTCAGTGAAGAAATGAATTGTGAGTCAATATGGGGTGAAGCATTACCCCGCATTTATCCATTATCTGAATCCTAATAAATTATGTTGTTGGTTTTAAAAGGTTTGGAAAATTTTGCAAGGCTCTTAATCCCTGTTGTTTTTTGTTGTGCCCAGGGGGCCAGGAGCAGCCCAAAGAGCCTTCCAGGGTCATTGTGGACATGCGGGAATTCCGCAGCGAGCTGCCGTCCCTGCTGCACCGCCGCGGCCTGGACATCGAGCCCGTCACCCTCGAAGTGGGCGACTACATTCTGTCTCCCGATACCTGCGTGGAGCGCAAGAGTGTCAGCGACCTGATTGGCTCACTGCAGAGCGGACGCCTCTACACCCAGTGCCTCTCCATGACCCGCTATTACAGAAAACCAGTACTGCTCATCGAGTTTGACCCAGCCAAGCCATTTTCTTTGATGGCTCGCTCGGATTTTCGAAGTGAAATCTCGTCGAACGACATTTCCTCCAAATTGACGTTGCTTACGCTGCACTTCCCCCGCCTCAGAATACTGTGGTGCCCCTCCCCGCACGCCACAGCCGAGCTCTTCCTGGAGCTGAAGCAAGGCCGTCCTGAGCCCGACGCTTCTGCAGCCCAGGCCGTCACAGCCGAGTCAGACGTGGTCGGGGAATCAGCTGACTTCTACAACCCCGGGCCTTATGACTTCCTGATGAAAATGCCAGGAGTGAATGCCAAAAACTACAGAGCACTGATAAAAGCTGCAGACAGCCTGGCAGACTTGGCTAAGCTGAGCCAGGAAAAGCTTGCAGAAGCTCTGGGGAATGCTAGCAATGCTAAAATGCTGCATGAATTTCTGCATAATGTGGCGGATGTTCCTGCTCCCATTCAGAAGGCCAAACAAACATCATGACATCTTTATCTTATATAATAATGAATTTACCTTAATGAAAATGAATTTTACATTTTAAGGAATGGAATGAAATTATTGTAGAATAAAATAGACAGAAGTATTTTTGTATTTTGCTATGTGAATCTTTGGGGTGACTTAATCTTAGAAAAAATTATTGGACCAAATAAAGGACACAAAAAGGGTCCAATAAACATTACTGTATGTTTAACTGTAAACAACTAAACAATGCTGGTGGATTTGGCCTTCACGATTAAACAACTCCATCTTATGAACAAACAGTAGATACTATTTCAGAAAAACTTAAATTTCCAGTGTTAAATCATTTTGGAATAAATAATTATTTTTATCAGGGAACAAAACAGAAACATGCACATATGTGTCTACTCATCCCAACATACCTTAAAGATCATCTAACTACGGACGACCTAGAGAGTCACTGAAAAAAAAAAAAAAACTGCCATTTTACTTTTTTTTTTTTTTTTTTTTTTTACGTAATTTTACATTTAAATCCTGCAATTTGAAAAGCATTTTCTAATGGGATATTTTAAATTGAATAAAGAGGAGTTGTACATTTTTGAAATGCCGTTTTGTTTTTTCTTTATTATCTTTTTTAATGTGTGTTGGGAAGATATTTATGATTTAAAAATTTCATTTAGAGATGTAAATATATTCAAATCTTATATCAGCAAATTCCTGTATATTATAAGTGATTAACAAATAGAATTTACAGTTCCTCTTAAATAATTCTAAGCTCTGGATCAAGCTGATCAGAATCTGTTGGTTCCTTTAAATCAGGATTAAAACCTCTTCGTAAACTGCATCTTTTTGACCCAAGAGTCAGATTAACTGTTTGTCTAATAAGGCTGAAGAATTAAATTTGTGTTTTTAACATTTATTTCTTTTTAAAGTTCCTGTTGTTGGATCTCTGTTTATAAATATACATTTGTTTTGGCTTAGGAACTCCTTAGAAAGAATGCCAGGAACACGATGTAGTTAAAAATACACATTTATTATAAAAATATATGCAAAGGTCACAGTGAGTTTGGTGATTAATTAGTGAGCAACATATAATGCACAGAGAAACACTTCCCCTAAATTCAGGCAGAACTTTTCTTCTGAAAACGGTTCCTCCAGAAAAGATCCAGACCGATGAGTGAGCTCTGCCACCATTAGGATATAAAAATAGAAAAGGACATCAGGCTTCTTCTCAGACAGGAAATGAAGGAGCTGGACTGAGTTGTCTTTCACACATCACACTCATTATCTGCCGGAGGCTTTTCAAAAACAGTGTGAAATGAGGTCAGCGCCCGCTCCTCCGATGGAGAATCACCTACACAGCTGGACTGGACCATAGACGGACGCACCCAGACAGAGGGAACCATCACCTCCCCTCCAACGCTCAAACACACAGATGTGTTACTAAAGGGTTGCCATGACAACTTTCTCCATCTTTCAGTCAATTGTAATGACTGTGAGATCTATGAGGATGTAATTGAGTAGACTCATTCATTTTTGAAAAGACCTGTCCTCCCCACTTTTAAAGAAAAAATGCACAACCCTGTACCCGCTCCCGACAGGGAACGCCTATTATACGCCCATACTAAACATGAGGAATGAGACACAGACCAACCTAACCTAAATTCTATGTTTTTTATCCTTACCAGTTTAAAGAGGCCAAAAGAGACCAAAACTGTCACAATATATAATAGAGGTTCTGCATATTTAAAGTATTTTAAATGATCTTTTTCTAATGTAAATAAAACATCAATATGAGGAAACGTTTAGAAGGACAAGCTCAGAAACATTTAACCAAATCATCTGAGTTATTAAAGTATACATTTGTTGGATAAAGTATCCTCCAATATTCTTAGGCCTGCAGTAGTTCCCTGAGGTCCTGGTCCATGCCCGGGCTCCCAGCTGTTCCAGGCTGTAGTAACGGTGGACCATGGTGTCTGCAGTTACCACCACCACCCTGACACCGTGGGTGTCTTTACCGAGCTGGCAGCCGATTGCTGAGGTCACCACCATGTCCAGGCCATCATGGCAGCCGCCTGCTTCTGGTGATAATGGCCTGTGAAGACCGCCTTCACACCTTAGAGCCATGGACGAGGGTATTAAAGAAAAAAGACACAAATTTTTAAAAATTTCTTATATAAATTCTGTGGATTTTCCCAAGACATGAATGAAAAGATTTCTGCAGACGTCAAGCTTTTTCCATCAGACTTCTAGGATCCGTTTCATTAAGCAGGTTTAAAAAATTCTGATTCAAATCTGCAACTTTAAATTGATCTAGATAATTTTTATTTACTTGCAAAAGTGAATGGGAAATACACTCTATAAGACAATGTTATTATTTTTAGATCCGTTTTTGCAGTGTAGCCCAAATGCCTCATCTGCTCAGATTGTCTTCCACATTTGTCTATTGCAGAGATTCACACACATTTCAGCCTGTGACCTGCAAATTAACCAGGGACTGGCAACATCCTACTGGTTTACTCTATATGAAAAATATAGATAAACAGGTGAAACTGTAGATAAACTGATACATGTAGACATGTTTTCTATGTTGTTTATTTCATTTTATGTGTGCTTACCCAGAAGCTAAAGTAGTCATCACCCCAGGCTGTGCAGTATTTTTCCACTGTTGGGGTATTGCCAAGGTCATGGTTCCCGCTGACGAACACAGGCAGAATGAAGGGATCTGCCCCCTTTAAGGCGTCCTTCAGGTCTCGCTTTTGATCTTCTCTTCCTGGCAGAAGAGGTAGAATGACTTTAATGCTAAATTCTTCTAGACAGATTAGAGATTAGAGGTGACGTGATAGAAACATAATGAAAACAATAAAAAAAACAATAAAAAGTTAAAATTGGACAAGAAACAGTTTATGGTCAAACTAAAAAAAGATGGGTTCGAAGGAAATATTGTCCAAGACTTTACTTCTGCCTTTAGTCTAACAGGACTCTGTCATTTTGGCCAGTGGGATCTTCCAAGTGGACCAAATTAATGAGTCCATCAGGGTTCTGCTCCAACTTCTGTACATGAGCCGCTCTGATCTGCACTTCATCAGAAACTCTTTGATAGGTGAGCTAATTCATTAGATGAAGACATCGCTGCTCGACCCTCAATCTTCTTTCCTTTAAGTCTAGGTATAAAGCTCAGACCCGACACCAGATGAACCACAATTACACAAACAAACTGAAGCTTTGATGCCTTCATATGAGATTTAAGGAGGCTTCAAAGAGATCAATCAAAGGCGAGCATAAATTAAAGTGTTTGTATAAGCAGACAGACTTGCAAATTAGGGTTGTCAGAGTAAGGTATGAGGCATGTGACCGCAGCTGTTGGCTAAGGAGAACGGACAGATAATGGAGAGAAGAGATGGATGGGAACATACAATGTGAGAGCAATAAAAAGGAGCAACAGGGTAAGCACCATAAACTCAACTTTGTGGGAAAACATCTCCCAATGGAGGATGTCCTGTTGACACAGAACCAGTATTTGGTCACAAGCCAGCTGCTAAAAAGCTGGCTTGATTTAAAAGACAGTTCTTTCCCCCTCCAACAAACCCTTTGATGGTTGAACTAGGAAAAGTAATTTGTTGTAAACCCTTTAACTAGAAAATAAGGGAATTTAATAAATTATATTTCTTTAAATTTAACTGTGCCTCTGTCAGTTACACTTTCAATTATTTATAATTGCAAATAACAAATAAATGACTTCATATTGAATAATTCCTCACATTAAACATGATTTTACCCTACAACAAAATCATATTTTTACTATTATTAGATGAAAAGAAAAATGTTTGAGTGTTTTACCCATTAATGGGGGGGTTCTTGACAGAGGCCAGTGGGGGCAGGAGCGCCTGTTTATTCCTTAAACCAAATAAGTATAATTATTTATTGTGATTATTGTGTGCAGACACAAATACTGCCCTTATTTTATTCACAGATCTATTTAATTTTTTCAATTTTACAATTTTATTTCGACAATTAATTAAAAATCCAGGTGTTGTACTTTAAACTTCAGTTGTGTTCAGACAGATTATGATTTTGACCAATACCTATTCTTTATAATAGTTTTTATTAGGGTTACAATAAATCTTGAATGTTTCCATCTTCTTTTATCTGCATATAAGGAAAAATTCCTATGAGACAACAAAAGACATGTTTTAACTACTCAAGATAACGCTTATTTTCTCACCCCTTGTGGGGTGGTATGTCTTCCTCAAGCTCGGGTCCTCCCAGAGGCCTGGGAGTTTGAGGGTTCTGCGCAGTATCTTAGCTGTTCCTAGGACTGCGCTCTTCTGGACAGAGACCTCTGATGTTTTACCTGGAATCTGCTGTAGCCACTCTCCCAGTTTTGGGGTCACAGCCCCCAGTGCTCCAATTACCACTGGCACCACTGCTGCTCTTACTTTCCACATCTTTTCTAGCTCCTCCTTCAGTCCTTGGTATTTCTCAAGCTTCTCGTGTTCTTTCTTCTTGATGTTGCAGTCGCTTGGGATTGCAACATCTATCACTACTGCCTTCTTCTGTTGTTTGTCGATCAACACAATGTCTGGTTGGTTAGCCATCACCAGTTTGTCAGTCTGGAAAAATTATAGAATTTGAAAATATAAAATTAAATTAAAAAACAAAATAAAAACTTTACTCTCTTTTGTAAATCACATTACAACAAATTTTCATTTATAGATCATAATGCTTATTATCAAAGAGAAATCCTTAAAAACACTGAAGAATAATAATATACTATATAAATATATTATATTTGTCAAATATAATCTTATAACATAATAATATAAAACCTTGTGTTTTTTTATATAAGTGAAAAATATAACTTTGCATATATCTCATCCAGTTTGAGTTCAGTTTAAATAGTTTTTAATCTAAATAAATATGTGTAGTCTAACTGAAATGCAATTTTAAAACTTGCTTTGGTCTTTAAAGGGGTTGTGCAATGTTAGAGATTATTGTATTATTATCTTTCATGTAATTAAAATGACGATCTGAGCTGCCTCCTATTCATTCTGACAGTAGCTGTCTGAACCGTGGTCCGATCCAAGATGGCTGCCTTCTAGGCATGTCGGCCTCGCCATAGATATTATTATGGATATCTATGGGCCTCGCCATAGCCTCGCTGCCGACTACGTCCAATAAGGCGTCTACTACGTATGTAACGACAAGGAAGCCGGATCCGCCCTGCGCATGCGCGAACAGAATAATATGTAAATAAATAACAACCGTCACAAGAACTTCAGGTCAGGGAGTAACTGGCTAACTTTCTCGAAAAACCAAAGGGCATGGCAGAGAAGGAAGATTTATTCCTCCGAGCCAAACATCGGACCTTTAGCGGACTGACTGAAGGTATCTGCCTGTCGCTAGCTCCTTTAGCTCGGGCGAAATGCACTAACTGCTCTGGCTGCTTTTATCACAGCCTATTATGGTATTTTTCTGTCATTGTACATTTAAACGTTGCCTTCCTCTTAACGTTTCTGATATGTTGCTGTTTACATTGGATATGTTCAGCAATTTCGATTTATCTATGGCATTGATTTATAAACTGTGATAGAGATCAACACATGTTTACAGTTTTAGACTTAGACAGATTTTATTTTGTCTCAGCTCTTTAGACTATTTCATGTTTTAAAGTCCAGCCTTAATAAGGTAAGCAGCAGTGATAAAAAAACAAAAAACAAAAACATTGTGATGAAAAAACAGGGATGTAAAAATATGACTGTATAGTTACAGTGTTAGTGTTCAGTGTTTAAAATGACACATTCATGTGAATCCAGTTTCACAATGGAAGTCAAAGGGTGGGTTGAAAACGAGACATAATGGGTTGAAACCTGCTCCTTATATTCAGATAAAACAAGATTGAAACATTTATTGTGAAGCTATTAAAACTATTATAAAGAATAGATATTGGACAAAATCATAATCTGCATGGCTTATTAAAGATTGGATTTCACCCCTAAAACAGTGATCCTGTCTGAACACAACTAAAGCTAAAAGTGCAACGCCTACATTTTTAATTAATTGTTTAAACAAAATTGTAAAAGGTAAAAAAATTAAATAGATCAGTTAGACGATATATGGGCAGTATCTGTGTCTGCACACAATACGCATAAGAAATAATTATACTCATATGGTTTAAGAAATAAACAGGGGCTCTGGCCCCCAATGGCCTCTGTCACAGTTAAATTTAAACAGAAATCATTTATAAAATTCCTTTATTTTCTAGCTAAAGGGTTTACAGCAAATTACTTTTCCTTGTTCAACTGTTAAAAGGATTTGTTGGAGGGGGGGGGATGGGTTGGGGGCTCATCAAAAAAAGTTTGTGAACCATAAAGTTTAGCTGCTTCTCAGCTGCAGACCAATCAGCTTGTCTGTAACAGTGTTGACCGATAAATTAAGTGCTTCTTGCATATAGATACCCCCCACATCATTTATATATAAAATTCTGTTATATTTCTTTCTTTGGTTTAATACTTTAAACAGTGATCGTTTATTAAACAATCACATGTTCATCAAACTGTATTTTGAAGATTACAAGCATGATTTTTCTAAGGCAACGGAAGTTTATTTGCATAAAAATAGAGAAATCAATTGCAGTGGAATAGAGAAAACACAAATAAAGCTACAATGTTCTAGTTGTTTATTTCAGATTATTGGACATTAGAAGTTAAACCTGCTTCTTAATGTTTGGTTCTGGGTATGCAGAGTAGCCTTGAGGAGGACGATCTGACAGGTAGATGCTCTGAAACAAGCCTATAATATATTCTTGAGCTAAGCCATTCAGGGATTCATAGACTAACAGAAGTATTTTAAATACAGGGTGCCAGTGTAAGGGCTTTAGAACTGGGGTGATGTGCTCTACTTCTTAGTTTTAGTGAAGACGCAGGTAGCAGTTAAAAAAGGCCCTGATACCGATATGATACCTGGCTGTGCACTATTGGCCGATACCATACCAATACCATGCGTTTGAAATTGTGTGTGTGTGTGTATATATGAAGAACTGCATACTACTTACTACATACTACTTTGTCAAGCTGCCGCCTACCTCTGTGAAGCAGGGAAAAGACTGATACAAAGTGAATCCAGTAGAACTTTTTATTGCCTACCTGGAATGGGTGACAATAGTTGAATAAACTTTTGGCTTTCAAAATGGTATCGGCACCCTATTTTGGGGTATAAAAAAAAAAGTCTAATCAACCAAAACTTTTGTGACCCCCATGCAGTACCTCTGTGGACCCCCTAGGGGTTGCGTACCCCCTGTTAAAGACATGTTTAACAGGTCTTAACAGGTCTTTACCAGTAGTGTCCATACCGTACTTGTATCGGTGCAACACTACTAAAAATAAGCTGTTTTGAAGCCTGTAAATACTCAACAATATGATTTTGACTGAGGTCTTTATCTGGAGAGTCAAGTTTGCTCACATCTACCTTTTTAAACCCCCGGTAATGTTTAACAAGGTGGCCACTCCACCTACGTTCCTTTGCTGTCTGCTCTCACAAAGAAAATTGTAATATGGAGACATTAACTCTATAAGAAAGGGAATAGGAAGTGCGAAATAAATGGAAAGGATCAGTAATAAGCTCTTTGTTCTTTTTCCAAAAGGGCTTTTTGTCTCAGAAACATCATAAACTCATCTGGGACGGATATTTGGCACATAGGAACAGTTACTGGACTCTGAGTGTGAGCGTTAAATGCAGCTCTCCCCACAGTGATGGTGTGGAGCGGAAAGCTGTGGTTCACACCTGCTCTTTACATCTGTCTATTTTAAGGCAACAAGCAGAATTCATTAACATATAATTTTTCAGGGCTTTAGTATTTTAGTCTCTCCATGTAACACGTTGTTTCTATCAGCACTAAGCTGTGATGAGTCTCCGTTTACTGACATGGAAAAACAATCAGCATTTGTCTTCTTATGAACATAAGATACCTGCTGTATGTTTTAGTCCATCTAATCCCCTGAGATTTTATTTGTCCATTATAGTTGTATTTTTCTGAGATGGTAGAAAAATACAACTAGAATCTGCTGTTGTTTAGAGAAGAACAGAGAGGAAACAGGGACAGTTCATGTGTTGATCTCAGAAGGAACTGATCCTACTGCTGCATTGTGATCCAGTTTATCTTTTCTCCAGATGCAGAGCGGAACTGGACCGGACCTTTCTGCTTCATCCAAGCCGCAGACCCCCAGCTAGGGCTGATGAAGTCCTGGAGGGTAGGTGACTGTGACAACGGAGGAGATGAGTGGACTGAAGAAGTGGAGCTTACCAAACAGACTGTGGAGGCTGTAAACCGTCTGCGACCCAGGCCGAGGTTCATGGTGCTGTGTGGTGACCTGGTCCATGCTATGCCAGGTAAGGGTGTCATCATTCACTATAACATGTCAAACACTCAGGGGACGTTTATCATCATTATCACCAGGTTTCCTGCCATTTCATTCGGTCTTTTCTGCCAAAGACTTTGACTGTTTCATTTTGTATTTAATGCAAGGTGAGATTGAATGCAGCCTTGAAGGGGCCACATTGTGATCTTATTACAGGTCGGTTCCAATCCCAGATAAATGCAGAGTTGGCTCTGGAAGGTTGTCAACTGTGAAACTTTACAGTGACCTCCACTGGCTCCTGTTGGTCAGTAGAAAAGGAGAGAAAGGAGGAGGATGAGCTGTCTGTGGGTAGAGAAGAGGAAAGAAAAGAGTCAAAAGCGTGCTGTTGACAGCAGCACAGGTTAAGAGAGGACAAGCTTCAGCAATCTAATAATATGGAAGAGGATTAGGGCCAATGAAAAAAAACAATAAAACAAAAAATTCTATTTTTTTCTGACTTTAGTCTCAGAATTAAACTAATAAAGCCCAGGATTATCACTTCAATAAAGTCTGAATAATAATAGCAGTCATCATTCTATGAGAATGATTCTTAGATTAAATTCAGAATTCTGAGGAATTAAAGTCAGAATTCAATAACCTTTTTTGTGGCTTTTTAATTTATGTTTTATTTATAATGGCCCTAATCCTTTATGTACTGTGTAGCATCCATCCATCCATCCATCAACCTGGGTCGGGTCGTGGTGGTAGCAGCTTCCGTAGGGACTATGTGATAGCACATATATAATCATCATTTTCATTATGGTCTTGTTAAGGACCGCTATCTGCCATCATCATGTCATTTATCTAGTAAAGTGAATCTAAGCTGCTATTATGAGCCCCAGACAAAAAGATTTGAGCTCAAGTCTTAGAACCCTGGTTTGTTTGTTATGGATGTACTGGTACATGTGTAGGTGAACAAATACAGTGATGTGTTAAAACTGAACAGGATGTTTATGTGCAGAAATCTGCAATCTGCAAAAATGTTGTCATTACCAGCTATTAATAATTACTAGCTATGAAAAGTTACATTCTCCACTTTCTTAGATGACCTAAAACGGAGGTCTTTAAAGGAATAGTACACCCAAAACATGATTAGCCTTCATTTTCTACTCACCCCCATGCTGAACAACACTCTGGAGTACTTTTTTGATATCTCAAATGCATCTGGAGATCTGGGAGGCTTCTTGCTGTCTGCTGACATTCAAATAATGGAGGTCTATGGCGCCCGAGACAGAAAGGTCCATAAAAGTCCACAAAAACGTGTCAATATTCCTCCATACTGCTCGTCCAATGTAATCCAAGTGTCCTGAGTGGGTAGCATCCAGAATTTACTCGAAACGAAGTCATTTAGAATGTTTTTAGAGCATAAACAGTAGTGTATAGGATTTCCTAATAGCGCCCCCATGCGCGCTCACGATTCTACGGAAGCCGGCAGACCAAACCAGATGAAAGTGCGCATTCAACGTCTGCTCTGCCGATAATGCAAGCGTAGAAGAAGAAATGTGCTGTTTACCTGTGCAAAGAAAGAAACAACGAAAGAAAAATGTCTGAGGACTTCAGTGTTGAGGAAGAGCATGAGTTCTTTGCCGAGCTGAATGCGCTGGTCTGGTCTGCCGGCTTCCGTAGAATCGTGAGCGCGCAAGGGGGCGCTATTAGGAAATCCTATACACTACTGTTTAGGCTCTAAAACGTTCTAAATGACTTCGTTTCGAGTAAATTCTGGATGCTACCCACTCAGGACACTTTGATTACATTGGACGAGCAGTATGGAGGAATATTGACACGTTTTTGTGGACTTTTATGGACCTTTCTGTCTCGGGCGCCATAGACCTCCATTATTTGAATGTCAGCAGACAGCAAGAAGCCTCCCAGATCTCCAGATGCATTTGAGATATCAAAAAAGTACTCCAGAGTTTTGTTCAGCATGGGGGTGAGTAGAAAATGAAGGCAAATCATGTTTTGGGTGTACTATTCCTTTAACATGGGGTCCACGGAGGTACTGCATGGGGGTCACAAAAGTTTTGGTTGATTAGACTTTTTTTTAAATTCCCCTCTGCAATTTTTCCCACTAATTGAAATGTATTTAAATGTACATTAACATGAATTAAATACACTGTAGTGAACAGATAAATGGAGACTGGAGATGTCTTTCAGTCATCAATGCACACATTCAGTGACACACAGGAGCTCTTTCAACCTGGGCACCGTTTCATTCACAACACCTGTCCCATCAACCAGGAACCAGAATCAGAAATACTTTAATAATCCCAGGGCGAAATTACTTTAGTTACATTACTCCATATGTAATAGAGTGACTGTAGGACCAATTTGATATAATACATTTTCATACAATCTATATAATTAGGGGGTCCCCGCTCCATCTCACCATCATCTTGGGGTCCTTGGCCTGGAAAAGGTTGAAGACCCCTGACCAACCACAGCTTTGTCTCATTGTTTTCTCCATGTTAAATAAGTAGGTTAATTACTCTATAAGGAATTTAGTTACTCACCTCAAGCAACAGCAAGCTCAAAGGAAATATTGCTGGTTTAAAGAAAATTCTGCCAAGGTCCAAACCCGGCTGCCTGTAGCCCAGATACCATAGAAAGCTTTTTTAGCAACTGGCTTGCGACCAAATGCTGGTTCTGTGTCAACAGGAAATCTTCCAATGGTGCTTTTTAACTACAAATGTCGATCTGCTTTGAAAATTCAAAGGGATTTAAAGCTCTTGAGAAAACCAAATGTTTGCTTATCCGTTTTAATAAATCCAGAATAGAAATTCTTTCCATTTTAAAGAAGTCATATTGCTGCATATAGTATGTAGAACCTTAAACCTGACAGCTGCATTTAAGACTGTTGGTCTTATCTATGTGCAGGAGTTTCACCATAAGACACCGATCACCCGTTTCTTCTTCTACCCTTATAAAGTTCCCCACGGCATATATCTGGAGTCATGTATAGCCTAGCTGATGCATGGTCTTGTGAGTTTATTGTAAGCTACAACTCTGTCCTGTGGTGACATTTATGTTATGATTTATGATTTCACTCATTGTATGTAAGCATGCACCTTTTGATGCTGCTGCTTAGAAACACTTTATTGTTGTTTCTAATACTGAACTGAAAGTAATTCTGCCATTATGTGTGTGTTTGTGTACATGTCCAAATTTAGTTGCATGAAAAAAAGCTAGGATCCACCTACCAAAGCAAACTACCTTTGCATGACAATTAGGGATTGAACACAAGGTTCCTGCTTCACTAATTGGCCTAAAGGAAGAGAGAAACAGGGAAACCTGCCTCATCTCTGCTCACCATCTGAGTAATCGACACATTTGAAAGGAGAGTGATCATAGTTTCCCTGACCTCAGTCCTGCAGGTAAATGGAGATGTTAATCATAATTAGAAGATATTTTCTATGTAAAGCAGCATGTCATCTGTGTAATGTCCTTGGCTCCCTGTTTCCCATTGACTCAAGGCCAGTTATTCATATGCAGCACAGATTCAGCTTGGTTTAGTCACAGAGCTTCCCTTGCTTTCCTCTGCTTTGGGTCAAAGTGACCAGTATTTGTGGCTGCACAGTAACAGTAGTGAACGTTGCTTTCCTCTTTACATGATGTGTAACTGCAGGAATATAAGTATCATTGTCATCTGTTATCAGTGCACCATACAACCCAACTGAATGTGTCCGGTATCATCTTCCAGCCTCCCTTTCTCTCTGTTTTCCTTTGCATCAATCAGTCGACCTTAGAGGTGGTAGAGCAAGATGAATTCACCAGGGGGTGCGGCAACGTGGGGTTTAAACCCGAAGGCTTGAGGACCTTTAAACGGTGCGGCGTCAGCCCTGGTTACTGTCAGCCCCACGGAGCAGGTTGTGTGTGCAATCCTCATTACCCGCCACGTCCATCATGAAGCTGCTAACCAGACTGATGGAGAGGAGGGGGGAGAGATATTACGGCCGGAGCTGCTCCCTCCGCTCCTCGGCTGACATTTCCCCTTAAAGGGTTTATCTAAATAAATGGGTGGCGGCCAGGGGAAGCTGGCTGTCAACTGGTATTGTCGCCACTGCTGCCTGTCGGCGACAGGAAATTGGCAAGTATATTTCCGTACCCAGAGATTTCACTCCCTGTTGCTCCTTTTCATTGCTCTCACATTTTATTTTCCCATCCATCTCTTCTCTCTATTATCTGTCCGTTCTCCTTAGCCAACAGCTGCGCTCACATGCCTCGTACCTTACTCTGTCAACCCTAATTTGCTAGTCTGTCTGCTTATACAAACACTTTAATTTTTGCTCACCTCTGATTGATCTCTTTGAAGCCTTCTTAAATCTCATATTGAGGCATCAAAGCTTCAGTTTGCTTGTGTAATTGTGGGTCATCTGGTGTCGAGTCTGAGCTTTAAGGCTGGTTTATGCTCACAAAACCAGGTTGCCTGCGTGTATGTCGCAGTGAACGTTAATGTGCCCCTGCCCCTTCCGCAGACACTCTGCTGCACCTCTCCAAAGTTGCAGTTGACCACAGACAGTGCCGCAGGCAGGTGGCCTCTGATTGGTCAAATCTACATCCGCTCTACACTATGCGTATTTCCTGTTTGGTACCTTACCGGCTTGTTTTGTTTGTATGACCGCCATTGTGGAAAACGACTCGTGAAGTTGGACCAGCTAGAAGAGCGAGTTGTGCGAGAATGCTGGGACCCTTTTTCCACCTTGATCCCCACTCTTTGTCGCCCTCCGTTGTCGCACAAACTTGCCCCTTGCAGGCGTGCAGGTGGCGCAGTGGTTAGTGAGCATGACCCATGTACGGAGGCATTAGTCCTCGACGTGGCCGGCCTGGGTGCTTTGCCGCATGTCTCTCCCCCTCTCTCATACCCCCTTTTCTATCAGGCTACTGTCCAAAAAACAAGACGCTAGTGCTGTTAAAAACTCAAACTCTACTTCCTCATCGCCTCGGCCATATATGGACTTACAGCTAGTTCTTGATTGTCCCTCTTGTGTTGTGGCATGGAGAAACAGTGTAGACCACACTTTAAAATTGGGCATAAATCAAAAATATCTGCATCATACCTACGACAAGCTTACTACTAGGGTTGTCACAATACTAAACTTTTCAACTCGATACCGATACTAAGGAAAATATTCGATACTCGATACCATTTTCGATACCACAAGGATAAAAACAAAGAAATAAAATACAATAAATAAACACAATAAAGCTTGTATGCTGTGCATAATATTAAGCAAGCTTGATAAAAAACTTATAAAATTAAAATTAAGTGTTCCTTCCTTGGCTATGCTTTGCACACATAACAATGACACTAGCCAAACCAGTTAAGAAACAAAAATAATTCTCAGCAGCTGCACCTGTTACAGAAAAACAGTCTGAAACTGAAAAGTGCGTAGAATTATTCAATCACACAGTGTTCTGAAAGTGAATTTTCCTCTATTCTGCACTTTAGATGAATGACTGCTTAGGTGCCACTGGTGACGGCACTGTATCGATACTTTTAAAAACGAGTATTGTATTCGGATACAACATTTCAGTATCGATACTTTTTTGAGTTTCGATACTTTTGACAACCCTACTTACTACGACACACTGCTGTGGGAGTATAACCAGCCCTTTATACCTAGACTTAAAGGAAAGAAGACTGAGGGCCGAGCAGCGATGTCTTTATCTAATGAATTAGCTCTCCTATCAAAGAGTTTCTGATGAAGTGCAGATCAGAGCGGCTCATGTACAGAAGTTGGAGCAAAACCCTGATGGACTCATTTGCATCACATTAATGTGGTCCACATGGAGGAGCACACTGGCCAAAATAACAAAGTCCTGTCAGACTAAAGGCAGAAGTAAAGCCTTGGACAATATTTCCCTCCATCCATCTTATCTTGTTTGAATGGAACAGAAAGTTTTTCAATCCCAATTCTTTTTCCTGTCAAATGTAAGCTAACCTCCAAGAGACATGTCTAATTTCAAGGACTTTCTTTAATCTAAGCTCACTTTCAGTCTCCTGATTCTGTCCCGCCTGCTTTTACTCCCTTGTGTTTTTCCTGAGAGGGTTTTTCTACTGGTGTGTGGACAAATGTTTAAACTGAAATTTGCTGAGAAAGCCTGTAACTCTAATCAAATCTAAAGCTTCTAACATCATTGGACAACTCTCAATTTGGTCTTGTTGAATGGCTGCAGGATCCACACATCTCCAATGGTCTATAGGTTAAGCAAGTTCCATCTTTTTCTTCATTCATGCTGAATTCTGCTCTGGTGAAAAGTCCTCTAAAGATTGTCATGAACGGTCATTCTTCACAGAAACCCGTGATGTTTTTATAAGTGGGTTTGACCAGCGGTAGTTTCAGAAAGTTTTCCTGAGTGGCCAGGCAGGGACCAGTGGGAACTTAGGGGTGGTAGGAAACTAGTATGTGTCACAAAACCTTTTAATCTATGGTGATCACAATAAACCTACCAGAAAATAGACATAAAAAAGGTATATTTTCTAAATAAATCCTTAATTACTTTGACTGGTCCCAAAATATTCATTTGGTGAATTGATACTAATAAAGCATAGGATTGTGGTTGTTTATCTGATGCAAGAAAGCAGTTACTACACTGTTGTCGGTTTTTCATGGTGTCAAGACAGTAAAGATGGATATACAATATAATATCCATAAATATTGGCCATAACTGCAATATTATTATCAGATATCAGCCAAAATGCTCATATCTGTGCATCTCTACACAAAGCATTAGGGGCTGAACCGTATAAGGAAAAGCTGCGATGTGGAATGACATTGCTTAGCTTTGCCATGACGAGATCTCTTGTGATGTATGAAGGAACACTTGGTGCATCCAGAAACTATTGACTGTGCTTCACTTTATCCACACAAATCTGTGTCTAATTCTGTGGAAAAAGATCGATTTTATAAAATGTAGAAAAAGGCTGTAACATAAACTAAAGTGCAAAAAGTCAAGCACTCTTTAAATTTCTGGATGCACTGTTGAGTATGTAGTGTGGATGTCTTTGTATTGTAGTTTCATGCCAAAAGCATTATTAATATTGGATTAAAATAATTAATTTTGTGACAGGAAAAGATGTCTTTTGTCTATTTTGGTCCATCATCAAACTGACGAAACAATCTCTTCTGACTGTATTCCTGGGCATCATGTCTTTGGCTAAACAACATGCATTGACCTCTGTTGTACAGTACCACACTTGGAAGACTCTGATACAATGGATTGTTGCACTACACTATAAACTGCTCAGTTTTATATGCAGCCTTTTTTATCCTGCCGTTAAGGTACATCTCACAATTAAAAGATCTCTGTTTGGCATGTTTTTTGCTCTTTGTAAAATCGTAAAGTTCAACATTAATATTTTATTGTTTTCATGAAGTTTTTGTCACAAGACCTCTAATCTCTAATCTGTCTTGAAGACTTTAGCATTAAAGTCGTTCTACCTCTTCTGCTAGGAACACAGTTCAGAGAAGATCAGGAGCGAGACCTGAGGGATGCCTTAAAGGGGGCGGATCCCTCCATCCCCCTTGTGTTCGTCAGCGGGAACCATGACCTTGGTAATACCCCGACTCCCAGCACAGTGGAGAAGTACTGCACAGCCTGGGGGGATGACTACTTTAGCTTCTGGGTAAGCACAAATAAAATGAAATAAACAACATAGAAAACATGTCTACATGTATCAGCTTATCTACAGTTTCACCTGTTTATCTTTATTTTTCATATAGAGTAAACCAGTAGGAGGTTGCCTGTCGCTGGTTAATTTGCAGGTCACAGGCTGAAATGTGGGTGAATCTCTGCAATAGACAAATGTGGAAGAAGACAATCTGAGCAGATGAGGCATTTGGGCTACACTGCAAAAACGGATCTAAAAATATTAACATTGTCTTATAAAGTGTATTTGCCATTCATTTTTTTGCAAGTAAATAAAACGATCTCTCAGTGGAATGAATATTTTCACTCTTAACATAAGATACTTAGATATTATGCACTTAAGATAAAATCATGGTGTTTTAATTCTTATTTTTAAATGTAAATATCCCACTGGCAAATTGCATTAAGTGCTCAAAAAAGAGGAAAAATACACTTAAATTGACCCTTGTTACCGATGTTTGGCAGTGCATAAAAAAAGTTGTTTGAGAAGGAAAAGTATCACTGATCGTTATCCCGTCGATCTCATTCCTACTATGAGACCTGGATGTGTCAGCTTGATGCTGTGGAGGAAAATTCTAAAAGAAAACTCATTAGAGGCTGTGTAGGACCAGAGACAACTGCCGCTGCTACTGCCATCTACTTTGACAGTAAACCATGTTTTTTACGGCTGCAGACTTTGTGGGTTTTGTCTTTAACAGCTCTAAAGATAAGAACTTGTGTAACTTGGGTTCATCAAACCCCAGATGACTGCCAGGTGGTGCTGCTTAAAGTAGTGAGTTGCAGTGTATTGACCTCCTAGCGATGTGGCATGACAGTGATCTTGGTTGTATGACAGCGCTTTTGCAATGCTTTTCCTTTGTGTGTTAAAGGAGCCCTTTCCTTCTGAAGCCTTGTGGAATCAGGGTTCTTCCATATCTCATTGGCTGGGCTCTTTACTGTCTTTTGGGCATATGCACCTTGAGTTACATGTCACCTGCTTGTTCTTGTGTCCTCCTTTGGCCTTAAAGCCAATTAGTGGATGAAATGCCGAATTTCATCTCAGACAAGCAAATGTCTCAGGGGGATTTTAATTACTTTTCCATATTTTTGCATGGTGGAAAGTACACTTCAGTTACTAACTCAATTCTTGCTTTCAGTACAGCCCTCTAGTGGTCAGTAGCAATGAAACGGATCTGGTGTTGTACTATGATTGTGAATCAAGCTCAAATCATGGTAAAAGAGATAACTCTGTACATGGATGTATTAAATTCAACACAACTTTATTGAAAATATAAAAGTCTGTAAAAAAAAAATATTCAGCACCAAGTGAAACATATTTTAGTTAAAACTCTTGACTAAACTAGTGAAACTCAACTAAGCTAAGTCAATATTTACAAAGAACAAGGAAAAACATGGCTGAAAACCATAATCAACAGAGTCCAACAGCAGCTAAACTTCCATCCCCTACCCCAGTGATTATGTTACAAACCAGCATGGACATTGGTTCTCATTGTCCAAAATGTATATAATAATAATGGGCAATATTCATTCTCTGCATTTAACCAATCCCCTTGGGGAGCAGTGGGCTGCCATTGTGCGGTGCCCGGGGAGCAGTGTGGAGTTTAGGGTCTTGCTCAGGAACCCAGAGTGCTGGCTGTGGGGATTTCACTGGGTACTTGTCAGGGCACAAGCAGACTGCCCTAACCCACTAGGCCAACACTGCCCCATATCATGGCTTATAGCACAGCAGCCAGAACCTTAAGAATTGTTGCCGTCTTGTAAGAGAATGTAAAAGCAGGTGAAGGGATGAGAGTCCTTTTGCAAGGCATTGTTTGTTTGGCCAAGCAGATATTTTAACTTTGTTTTAATATTTTCCTTCATGCTTCTTTCCAAGGTGGGTGGTGTCCTCTGCCTGGTTCTTAACTCCCAGTTGTTCTTCGATGCCTCGGCCTGTCCACAGCTGAAAGAGGCACAGGAAACGTGGCTGGAAGCCCAGCTGAGCAGGGCCTCCTCTATGACGGTAAAACGGCATTACCTTCAGTGATCAATGACGATGGGATATTTTTTTTTTTTTTTTTTACTGTGTGAAACTATGACATATGCTGTTCTTTATTTTTTCTGCTTAACAGCCAAAACCAAAACACATCCTGGTTTTCCAACATATTCCGCTGTACTTAAAGAACCCTGATGAAGACGACAACTACTTCAACCTGCAGACAGACGTTAGGCAAAGACTAATGGACCGATTCAAAAGGGCAGGTAGGGCATCATCCTACGTACTTCTTCTCTCTAATTAAACATCCTCACTTTGTCCAGTGTTATGCAAAGAAATACTTTCTGCAGTATTTGGGGTGTAAACCATGATATCTTGCTAGAAGCCATTTCTGTCATTTCCAGCCATAGAATAGCAGGTGTGTTTTCAGTAATAATACTGGATTTATTACATCTTAGCAACGATTCGCAGTAAAACTGTTAATTTCGGCAATTTCTTAGAAATGCTGAATTGTGATCTGAGCTTAAAAAGTAATTAGTCAGACAAACAAGAGTTCCTGGCTCAGACCCATCCCACAGCTCATTGGGTATTAGAGGACCCCTTTAATGCCATTTATTGCTAATAGGCTGAGAAGAAGTTAATGTTGTGAACATGTGAAGAAATCTGTAAATTAAAAAGCCGGAAACAGCAGGAAACCTGCAAAATGAGTCAGCTGACTGTAAATAGGAGATGACGCAGTCTGCTCATGCACTCTTTGTTATCACAGAACCAAGCCACAACTGAACTGTTCCGAGCCCTACTGTTGAACTAGTACTAGATTTAGCGCAGTTCGGTTGTGTCTGGCACGGTCCGAGTCAGTCGCATTCCATTTACACTCAACAGTTATCTTGGTTACCGTGCTCGGACCGCTGTCTGCACGGTTTCAAAAGGGTAGTGTAAATGGGGCTATATCTAACTCTCATACTATCCTTTTCTTTGGATCCTCCTTGAGATGGTTCTGCTCCTTCATTGGAGTCTGGCAGTATTTAATTAAACTGATTGGACTTGATTATTGAAAGCCACCCACCTGTCTTTATAAGACCTTACGGTACAGCTAACAGTGCATGTCAGAGCAAACGAGAATCATGAGGTCGAAGGAACTGCCCAAGGAGCAAGATACAGACCTGGCCAAGGTAACAAAAGAATTTCTGCAGCACTCAAGGTTCCTTAGAACACAGTGGCCTCCATAATCCTTAAATGGAAGAAGTTTGGAACAACCAGAACTCTTCCTAGATCTGGCCGTCCAGCCATACTGACCAATAGTGGGAGAAGAGCCTTGGTGAGAGAGGTAAAGAAGAACCTAAAGGTCACTGTGACTGAGCTCCATAGATTCAGTAGGGAGACGGGAGAAAGTTCCACAAATTCAACTATCACTGTAGCCCTTTATGTCAGTGGCCCGACGGAAGCCTCACCTCAGTGCAAGACACATAAAAGCCCACATAGAGTTTGCAAAAAAACACATGAAGGACTCCCAGACTATGAGAAAGAAGATTCTCTGGTCTGATGAGACCAAGATTGAACTTTTTGGTGTTGATTCTAAGCAGTACGTGTGGAGAAAACCGTCTGTTGGGATTATATTGGGCATCATCATCTGCCCAATACAATCCCAACAGTGAAACAAGGTGGTGGCAGCATAATGCTATGGGGATGTTTTTCAGCTGCAGGGACTGGATGACTGGTTGTAATTGAAGGAAAAATGAATGCTGCCAAGTAGAGCAATATCCTGGAAGAAAACCTCTTCCAGAGAACTCAGGACCTCAGACTGAGCCAAAAGTTCACCTTCCAACATGACAATGACCCTAAGCACACAGCTAAAATAACACAGGAGTGGCTTGGGAACAACTCTGACCATTTTTGCCTGGCTGTAAGGAAACAAAGGGTGAAACATTTAAAGGGGTCTGAATACTTCCCCTACCCTCTGTATCAGTGGGACAGTTTATCATCTGAACTATGCTGCCTTCATGTGGTCTGGTAAAGATGATACTTTTCACCTGGTCATCTGGTCATATTTAGGGTGACCAAACGTCCGTATTTCCCGGGACATATCCGTATTTCACGTCCTGTCCCGGGCATCCCGGGTTTTTTTTAGAAAGTGAGGAAATGTCCTGATTTTTTAAATTACCTTAATTGGACCATTAAATTTACAGGCATTCGGGCACTGCGCACGACGCTCCGTGTGACGTAATCCCTGAGCCGCGTCAGTGCGGGCAGCCCTGTTCTTAATCAGAGGCTCTGTTCGAAAACCTGGGCTGCATCATCCAAGGACGCGGTCTACCTAGACTGGATCTTTTGAAGTCCTTGAAAATAAGGAGGCCGGAAGAGTTTTGGCTGTAAATTCGAACAGGTCCTCCCTTCGGCGGGTTTTACCGATGTATGCTCTCTTGCTTAGCAACCGTGAAAGTTGACACACAAAGCAGGAAAAGAATCAATACCGAGGTTTTCAAAACTGTTTGTTTATTTATTTATTTTTTTAAAAGTTAACGTGAACAAAGACTACACTCACAAGAATCCAGAGTGGAATAAAGATTCAAACCACCGGTAGCAGGAACAAATCAAATCAAATGTAATGATAGAAACCTTAGTCAGTTAAATAACCTGCTGCTGTCATTCTGCACATCTCTGATGTTGCTGCTATTTTCAAATATCCATTACTCTAAAAATGTCCATAGCTGCATATTGGTTATTTATTCTCCAGTTTTATATTGTTAAAACACTTTACAGAATTGTATTTTTTATATTTTAACTCTTCCCTATTATGTTATTCTTATACATTTTTCTAAGGTCCTCATTTGTGTGACTATTTTCAATAATCTTTCTGCTGCTGTAAATTTGCCCATTGTGGGACAATAAAGAGATTTTCTATTCTATTCTATAAAAGGGTTAGAAATATATAAGTAAATCTAAACAATGTATCTACAAAATATATCTTCAAAATCTCTAATATTTAACAACAAAAAACACCCCCCCCCCCCCTCCAAGGTGTCCTGGTTTTCCGAAATGAAAATAAACATTGTGTACTGTAGGCTACAAACACAACGTCAGAGAACGTATCATACCGACATGTTGAATTTTACCTCATCTCAGCATCTTGGGTATTCTAAAGCACAAGTGGGGTTCCATGTGAATTTTTCATGTCATTTTTTTTGTATTTACCATAATTACGATACCCAGTGTTGTACGATACCCAGTGTTCATGTTCAGTGAATGGCGTTCACTGAATACGTTCATATTTTTAGTGAACGGTGAACTGAATGCATCAGTTTTGAAGCAATGAATGAATAAGAGCGACGCTCATTCTGAGAAGAATGAGCGTCACACTCAGCTCTTGTACGCTTTAATTGATAGCAACACTTTTCATTGGATAACGTCAAGTTCTACTGCACTTGTAGAAAGAAGCATGACAGACCAGCATGTCTACTGTTAGTACTAGTCTGTGTGATTCAGACTCATCTTCTTGTATATCTGATGCCAGTTTGGCAGAGCGCTTTGCAGAGTTTAATGAGCTAACAAAGGAATACCGGTACTTGGACAGGAAAAAAAGTCACGTTTTTGTGCAAACTGTGCACAAGTCCGTATCACAACAACGTCCTCCTCAAATTTAAAGAGATAAAGCATCTGAACTATCTTCAGAAATATCTGCTACTCAATAAGTAACGTAAGAAATCATATTTGTTTCAGATCTTTTCAGCAGAACCTGAATGTACCTGGATGTTTCTGAAGTTCTGTGTAATTCGGCTAAATAAAGGCTTCACTGCACATATAGTATACCTTGACTGCATCGAGTATTTTCCATTTTTTTCTATATATTATGATCACACATTTAAAGGGTGAAATATGAGGTTGTGTGCCAAATGAACTTAAACTACTTCATTTGTAGGTTTGTGAACTTAGTTCTTTTTTTAACTTTGAATGTGAGTTGGGTTCATTTTCAGCTGTGTGATTTGAACTTTGAGCTCATTCTTTTTAACTATGAACTATTACAATATTGACAATACCACATGAAGGCAGCATTACACAGAGCACTCACATTTTTCTACCTGTACATCATAGCAAAACTAAAATTGAAAACCTGTTTCAAATAAAAAGTTAAACCCAATTAAAAATTGAAATGCTGTGTTTATGATAATGTGCAGCTGTACTATTAATTTATATATCTACATATGCCCCTGGGACACCCTCTCTAGAAGCAGCACTAATATCTGGTTGAGTTTCTCGAACAAAATTAACAATATTTGCCTTTTCCATCATTTACTTCATTTCTTTGGTCCTTGTTGTAACCTGGATGTTATTTGTGGCCTTGCAGAGCTCATCCAGGAAACATGAAGGACACACTTTTAGTAAAGCCTTCAAACCCGACTGCCTGTTGGGTGTGATGGCTGCAAATAGACATGAAGCTTTTCAGAAGTCTGATGGAAAAACCTGACGTCTGCAGAAATCTTTTTATTTGTGTCTTGTTAAAATCCACAGAATTTATATAAAAAGTTTACACAAATTTATGTCTCCTCTCTCTAATCCCCTTGTCCATGGCTCTAAGGTGTGAAGGCGGTCTTCACAGGCCATTATCACCAGAACGCCGGCGGCTGCCATGACGGCCTGGACATGGTGGTGACCTCAGCAATCGGCTGCCAGCTCGGTAAAGACACCCACGGCGTCAGGGTGGTGGTGGTGACTGCAGACTCCGTGGTCCACCGTTACTACAGCCTGGAACAGCTGGGAGCCCGGGGCATGGACCAGGACCTCAGGGAACTACTGAAGGCCTAAGAATATTGGAGGATGCTTTATCCAACAAATGTATACTTTAATAACTCAGATGATTTGGTTAAATGTTTCTGAGCTTGTCCTTCTAAACGTTTCCTCATATTGATGTTTTATTTACATTAGAAAAAGATCATTTGAAATACTTTAAATATGCAGAACCTCTATAATATATTGTGACAGTTTTAGTCTCTTTTGACCTCTTTAAACTAGTAAGGATAAAAAAACATCTAATTTAGGTTAGGTTGGTCTGTGTCTCATTCCGCATGTTTAGTATGGGGAGGATCTGTGGAGCTCCATTAAATGGTCACCAAAGAGTAATCTACAGATTTCTCTCAGAGTTTTGCCATAAAAAGCAGAAAAGTCTGCTCTGTGTAGAGGTTGTGATAAGAGTTGTTAAAGGGGCTTCAGTGAAATAAAAAAAAACATCAAATCTGATCCTCTTAATTATAACTTCTCTTCATTTAACTTTGTTGCTGTAAAATTAAATTGGTACTGCATCTCGTTATTATGCTTAGAAATGTGTAAAAGGAAAATCTGAACCTCTCAACTGATTAATGTCATAACTTCCTACTTTTCAGCAGAATATAAGCCAGCAGAGCTTCTCAGAGTTGGACTTATCTGCAGCTGTAGTGACATCAGCAGTGCTTTAAAACTCATTCTGCTTGTTCTGAATATTATGCTCATTCCTCCAGTTAGTGATGTGTGTGTTTATGCAGAGCAGGTGTTTCCAGTGGAGTTTAAAACATTTCCAGCAGGATTTTACCATAAAACAATAAAACCTCATTTAAAGGAACTTTGCAGAGAGACACTGAGATCCAGCTGTGAAAATTTAAGGTTTTATTTAGTTTTTTATTGTTCTGATTATATATTATAAGCAGAAGACATCTTACCTGCTGTAGGGGATTCTCTTGGTGCCATCATTCTGATTCTGGATCCAAAAGGGGTGCAGAGATCAAAACGCACCTTCCATCTTTAAATGACTTCCAACAAAAAAAAATAAAAATAAAAACAGCTGTTTATGCAAACATTATTCTATGAATGTTTATGTTGGATGTGCTTTTTTTAAAATTTTTTACACAGAAATAGATGCTTCCTAACACAGAGTCCCTATCCCAAACCAGCCCGTAAGCATTAACCCTGAGCACTAACCCTCTGTCTGCATGTTCCGCCACATTAAGGGCCTTCCAAAACCAAGTAGTGGGTAGGGCCAGTGGCCTGTCCAGCCCTTAAACAGCGAGTCTGCATCAGTTGCAGGCTCGCTGGAATTTGGCAGCTAGTGTTAATAGAAGTTCTACAGGTTTGCTGCATCTTCATCACACTGATGAAAAATCATAAGTTAGGTAGAAAGGAAAAATGTAATTAATTCCAAAAGGAAAGGTCCTCTTTGAAATTGTTTTATTTGACCGAATACATTAGTTTAAAGGAAGGGGAACATTTAATATTTTATGTCACCCTGCGCCTTAGAGCTACATTCACACACGGGGAATCACTGTGTTGCCATAACAATGGCTGCTTTCTTTTTCTGTTGGAGGAAAGAGGCCGTCCCATTCACATTTATACCCTCCCCTTCAATCAAGTCACCTTCCACATCTGCAAGTGTGACTTTATTGGGAGTGAGACTTGATAGTTAAGGGTTAGTGCTTAGGGAGCGGTCTGGGATTCAGCCAGATAGAGCTTGGAGGCAGTGCACTGCCAAATGTCTTCCTGTGTGAAACAAACACTAAGTAGAGAAACCTATCAGCAAAGTTATAAAAATTAACAATTGCTTTTAAAACCTCTTTATAAATGACAGAGTCACTGTGACCAGAAATGCTCTACATTTTCCATTATCGTTATGTGTTTCACACTGGTAGGTGCAATGCCTCCAGAGTAATGGTCAGCAGCTGTAAATAAGAGAGCCTGAACACAAAGCTTAGTGCTTAAGACCAATCAGAAGTTAGCTGGATTTTTACTAGAGGAGGAACCAGGAGAGACTTATCTCCTGCAGGTCAGACATTCATGGCTTACAGTTGGTATAAAGACCCTCAGATCAAGAACTTTGAACGGTTTCTTTAACGTTTGCCTTTCCTTTGATCCAGATCCTTGTTGGTGACTCTATGCAAGTGTTTGCCTTTACCTGCTCCTGTTTAACATTGAACCCCTATGATACTGTAAAATCTCTTTTGCATGAAATTCAACATATTAATTCCCTGTTATTGCAAAGGATCGTGTATCAGAGTTTCTGGAACGTTCAAATTAGTGGTACCCAGTGAATATGATGGGTTGATGATTATTTATGTGTATGTGATGCCTCATACAGACTCTCACATTCTACCCGACCGAAAGGAAAAGGGAGAAAGTTGTCATGGCAACCCTTTAGTAACACATCTGTGTGTTTGAGCGTTGGAGGGGAGGTGATGGTTCCCTCTGTCTGGGTGCGTCTGTCTATGGTCCGGTCCAGCGGTGTAGGTGATTCTCCATCAGAGGAGCGGGCGCTGACCTCATTTCACACTGTTTTTGAAAAGCCTTGGGCAGATAATGAGTGTGATGTGTGAAAGACAACTCAGTCCAGCTCCTTCATTTCCTGTCTGAGAAAGAGCCTGATGTTCTTTTCTATTTTTATATCCTAATGGTTGCAGAGCTCACTCATCGGTCTGGATCTGTTCTGGAAGAACCGTTTTCAGAAGAAAAGTTCTGCCTGATTTAGAGAACATGTTTCCCTGTGCATTATTTCTATGTTGCTCACTAATCACCAAACTCACTGTGACTGTTGTATATATTTTTATAATAAATGTGTATTTTTAACTACATTTTGTTCCTGGGATTCTTTCTGAGGTTTTCCTAAGCCAAAACAAAATTCGATTTATACACAGAGACCCAACATAATTTATTGAATTAATTTTAATATTTATTTCTTTAAAAAGTAATGAATGTTACAACACTAATTTAATCTTCAGCCTTATCAGACAAATAGATAATCTGACTCTTGGGTCAAAAACTGCAGTTTACAAAAAGGTTTTAATCCTGATTTAAATGAACCAACAGAGCTTGATCCAGAGCTGAGCAGCATAGAAACTAAATGCTGCCTCACTTTGTTAGGTTCTGGTTATGGGAAGTCTCTGAGGGTCTCAGGGGTCCAAATGGTTCCTAACTGACCAGCAACTCAGCAAGGTCTTTATAGCCGAATAGATTCAGCTCTTTGTGGACCAATAGCAATGGTTTTTAAGTCTTTTCTTTTGACAATACAGAATTAATGCAGTGGTTCTAATTCCTCATCTCTACTACAAAAACAGAAGTTCTGAATAAAATAAACAGCTTAAACTGATTATGGGTAGGTGATGGAGAGACCAGAAAAAAACATTTATTTATTCCCATAAAAAAAAAAAAAAAAACAGAATACTAGAGTAAGGAGAGGTGGATTATTATCACATTTATTGGATTCGAAAATAATACTTTTTTGAGGATTTTCCAAAGGCCTAAATGACAAATGACACCTCTATTATATTATTAGAATAAGTATAAAATGGGCAATGTCTACACTATAGATCACTGTAGTTCCTCCAAACTTGTAGGATACATAGATAACCTCATTTGGATCATACTGCAATTCTTACTTTGGGAAGATAGGCCAAACTTTATTTTTGGAGATTTTGTCTTTGTTATTATAAGCATACAGTATAATAGCCAATAATTACACTATAGATCATTGTAGTGTCTCCAAAAATAGATAACCTCATCTAGTTCACACTACAACTTTTACGTTGGGAAAATGTGCTACACTCTTTTTTGTTTTAGATTTTTCATTGTTATTATAAGAATATAAAAGCCAATAATTACTTATGACTTAGACAGATTTATTTTGTCATTTTGTATAGACAAGGGTAAAAAACACAGAGAAATTTCGTTAGAGCAGCTCTAGACAATTTCATATTTTAAAGTGCAACCTTGAAAACAGTAATAAATACATTAAAGAATAGTTATATAAACATATGACTGTATATTTACAGTTCTAACATTCTTTTTTTTTTTTCTTGTTTTGAAAGATAGGCCAAACTGTATTTTTGGAGATTTTTTCTTTGTTATTATAAGCATGCAATAGCCTATAATTACACTATAGATCATTACAGTGCCACCAAACTTGTAGCTCACATAGATAACCTCATCTAGTTCATACTACAACTCTTACTTTGAGTAAATGTGCTAAACTAAATTTTTTTTTAATTTTTCATTGTTATTACAAACAGGCCAGGTGTGCAATCTCTGCAACAGGAACCACAGCACTGAGCGTTGTGTGCACTGCACAAAGTATACCTGTCACAAATCGTCACCTTCTTAAAATAATTGCCTAAGTCATTTTTTGCAATTTTTCAGGAAACACAAAAAACTGAACCATTTGTTGAATAAATGATATTTACGAACAATTTTAATCAAAAAAGTTGTAACAACAGATGTCTTTTGACATACAAACAGCAAGGTCAGTCAAACATGGAACATGACAGAATTAAATGACTTAGGCAAATTTCTGAACATGCCTTTGTGACCTAGGCAATTTTACAGCACAAACTAACAAAACATAATGCTGAGGAGGCATGTGCATTTTTTCCACTTCTCCTTCCAGCTCTTCTTTGCTGAGTTTTTGTCTGATGCCTATTAGTGTGGCAAATTGTCAAAGAAGTGATGACACTCGACAGGCATGATGGGTTTCATTGACTGGAGGTCCTGGAACTTTCTCTCTTTGATTGGCAGAGCACATGGAAACAAACTTATCCATGCCATTGGCCCATTTGGCACCTGCACTCTTTGTAGCAGTTCTTCCCACACAGAGTCTTCTGAAAAGGACAGCTTGAAATGGACCTTGCCGTCACTGCTAAACTGAAGACCCCGCAAGTCATGCACAGTCGGGTCTCCAACTTTTTTGCCTGGTCTGATGCTGAAGAAGTAAGATCCATTCAGCTTCAGGAACTCATCGTGCTTGAGCACTTTCACATAGTAAGGTGATGGCCTGATTCTTGCAGCCTGGAGTACAACGACATAGTCTCTTGGGGTGAAGATATCTGCAACTAATTTTCGTTCAATAGTACTATGCATACTGTCACACTCCATTTGTGTATGACCTGCAAGAAGGTATTTCTGGGTTATTAGCACCCCATATTTCCTTGCAAGCTCAGAGTATGCATTTGCTACACATGTATTGCGATTCTGATAACCGCAACCGTCGCTCCACACTATGATCTCCTTGAGGTCTGGATGGCCTTTGATCACACCTTCAAAATGATGATACTGAAGATGTGCAAATACCTCGCTACAGAGGTCACCTTCTGATTCATCCCAAACATAGCAGTAGCCTTCCTTTGATCTCAAGTTGAAAAGGGTAAAGTTGTGGACCTGCAGTTTTGTTTTGTAATACAGGCTGCTGGCTTGGGTTTTTGGACACAGTAGCACAGCTTGCAAGTCCATTGTCCAAACGGACTTCTCTTTATCAGCAGAATCCTTGTCCCTAGATTTCTCTTGCCTCGCTTCATCCTTCTTGGTGACATGTGCGTTGTATGCAGCCTTACTGATATTTCCATGTTTGAATGAAACACAAACATCACACTGATCTTTTCTTGGAATAAATACGGAGTAGTTCTCCTCATGGAACACAGCTGTGAAATATTGGATTCCAACAGCTCTCACTCCAGCAGTTGCAGCTGCCTGTCCATATTCACGATGTAGTTGGGAGATGGTTGTGCCTTGGTAAAGGAACTTCTTGTCTTTGTAGGTAGCTGTGCTTCTGCAGTAGTGTGAGTCAACACTGGGCAGGTCCCTCAACCAGTTCTTAAGGAAATCCTTGACATCAGTTTCAACCTTTCTGTGCCAGCCACTTTTGGGTCCAGATTTTGATGGCACTTCTGCTTGTTTTTCAGGGTTGATGGGGTCATCCAGCCATTTTGTAATGGTTCTTTCAGGGAGACCAATTGTAGAAGAAAAAAGTGCCTTGCACACTTTAACTCTTGTTCCATCTTCAAGCTTCAGTTGGTAGGTAAATGATGAATTGCGTCGGGATCCCTCCATAACTTTTTTTTGCTTTATGCTAGTCTTTGTGACCAAAGTGGTGACGTATAACCGACGTTCTTCCCAGGTGTTCATTGCACAAATCTTGTCAAATACCCACTGCCGCTGCTCTTCTGTAAGGACTTGGCAGTCTCGAGTTGAGACTCGCTGACAGAACTTGGAGTTGCAGGGAGGACCCATAGTCTTTGCACTTATTTCTTTGCCACTTTTGCTCTTGTATGAAATTCCTTTTAGACGTTTCTGCTTGGATTCATTTTGCTTCCATGTTCTTGGACTGAGGTGTTTATTTCTTTTCTTTTTGCCTACATCTTTTAATTCAACATCCTCATCCTGCTGTTCTAAAGTTGTTGCCACCATAGATAGGCTGTTTTCATCTTCAGGAGAAGAGGACTCATCACAGGTTGGGGTATAGTCCGGATCTTGAATGACATCATCACCATCATCGCCATCATCATTTGATATTGTGTCTTCTTGGTGTGGATGTGTCTGCTTGGCATCTTTAACTTTATCCATGGGAGCAGATGGTGCATCATTATCAACATACTGCATCATCTCTTTATTGATGGTCTCATTGTCATTCTCAGTAGATGAGGACAGACTGGTGTCATCAATATCAAGTGCATCTCCTACCAAAATGGGAAAAAAAAATATTCAAATCTTTCAAAAATGTGTGATTATTCTGACAAACATGAATTGCCTTTGAGGTCAATTGTATTTAAGATACATTGTGGATTCCCAAAATGGTTTGCAAGTTGCCTCTAGATACAGCAACACAGGCACACTATAACACCAGTCAAATCATTTACGATTACTTATGTTCATCTGAAATTTTCATTAGTTAAAATCAATCGAGTAAAGAGGGTCCTTTGTGAATTTTTTCTAGACTGTAGATTACATTACAGAATTGAAAACTTTCTTAGTTAGATGACTCTGGAGTCTTTCCACTGTGCTTTTTAGCTAACTTACATCCATCCATCCATCCATCCATCCATCCATCTATTATCGATACCACTTATTCCTCATTAGTGTCATGGTTAATGCTGGAGGCAATCTCAGCTGGCTTCGGGCAAAGGCAGGGCATACCCTGGACAGGCCGCCAGTCTAACACAGAGCATTTTTAGCTAGCTTCCTAAACTAAAATTTTCACAAAAGATCACATTTTATGCAATTTTGATAGCCTAGTGTATATTATAGTAAACATCTTCACTTACCAACATGGGAAGAGTCCAGAATCTTGGAAATAGCTTCAGCAGCTGTGTAGAATTTTCGTCTCCTAGAATCATCCGCCATTTTGAAAAACTTCTAAAATTGCCTAAGTCAATTTGTCTGGTGACTTAAGCAAAAATAAAACTGCCTAAGTCACACTCTTGACATAGGCAATTATACAAAAGGGGTAGAATGGCATGATCTGTTTAATTGAGGATGTAGGCAATTTTACCAGAGGTGGCCAGCATCATGAAGAGATGATTTAGGCAAAAAAATCATTTTTGAAAAAAATGACTTAGGCAATTATTTTAAGAAGGTGACGAAATGCAGGAAAGACTCACCCTGGGTTTGTAAAAACTGCTAAATGGGACAACTGTAGCTTCATATGTAGTGCTTTTCCTTGGGTGAAATAAATGTTACTGCTATACTGAAATCATACTGTGTGTCATTCGTTAAGCTGAAATATTGAATGACATGAAAAGGCGAGAACAGACAAAATACTAAGTTGCTCTTTCTTTCACATAGTGAGCTTTGCAATATAAATGAGT